CTGAAACAATTCCGTTCTTAATGCTTTTTTAAAATCACTGATTTACAATTTGATGGGATAACGGTGCATTTGTCCCTCCAGTGAAATTGTTTTCTTTCATTTTTTTAGATGCTGGGGAAACACGTGCTCTGTACTTACAGAACAAGGCTATTCTCTTGAATAGGGGAGAGACCTTTAGTGTCTGGAACTAACAAACCCCAGACACATAGGAGGTAAAGGAAATGAGTGCATCTGAGTAAAGATATTGATGTGTGTGCTTTTGAATTAACCCTTCATGGCTGTCAAATTTCTGTAAATCTCCTGTTCAGAGCCCTCACATTACCAAAAGATCTGTGAGGAGGAGCTGGAAGAGATAGACCTTCAAGACTGCAACCAATCTGTTCTTAAAAATCACTACAATCTATAGGCCTTGTGGTAAACTAAGCATGCTTCATTTCAGAAATAATTTGGCCTTCTTCCATCTCTATTCCAACACATAAGCTTGTTAGTAAAATCTATTTCCTCAGATTAATTAAACAGGCATAATCATGAAACCACGGAAATTAGTTGCTGCCTTTTCTCATACCTATGTGCCTTTGTTCTGTCCATGTTCAGCAAAGAAAAAGTCTGTTTTACTCCCTTGTTTTAATGAGTTCCCAAGTTATCTGGACCATCTTAGTGCTCTCACATACTGGCTTTTCAAGAGGGCAGGAAGCTTTCAACATACAGAGGCTTTTCTCCAAACAGCTTGGTAAGACTTTAAGAGAACTTCCCTCACACATGCATTTTACAAAATCCTACACAACAAACTGTGGGCCAGAACTGGTTACCAGTACTCCCCTCTGATGCATATTTGTGTGAAACTTCTCCCAGTTTATAGTGCAGGTAAGGCGTGACCTGAAAATGTCATTGTCTGCAACTGAACTGTGCATTCAGATGAGCTTCTTGGATCCCATGCCCAACAAAGCATCCTGTAGGGGTGATAGTTGCTGCCTCACTTAAAACTAAAAGGGATTCTTAGTTGTTAGCACTAAGGAAAACAGCAATAGTACCTTTCCAAAGGGATTGGTGTGATTCTTTTCTTCCAAAGTGCCAACAGCAATTTATGAGATTGCTCTGAAAATCTGAAATGTTCTGGGCAAGTACAGGTGGATTGCAAGGTTTGCTTGTGCAACAGAGGAGTAGGAAACAGAGCCAGCATGTCTCCTGGCCGGCCAAAGAACTGGAGGTTATTTGAGGAAACTCGTACACTGACAGCAGTTCTGAGTGGTCAGGTAGCACAGCACAGAAAATGCCACCAAAGGAGTGGGCTGCATGAGAAACAAGTGGGCTTATGTCCAGGGAAACCCAGCAGGAAAGGCTTTTTGAGCCAGTGGGCAATGACCTGCAGCCACCAAGGTCGGTGGGATTCTCTGAGATTCATATTTACTCCACTGCAATTACTTGACGAGTTGAAGATAAGGACTTGCTTATTGCTACCCACATGACATTTATTGTAATGCAAATTGCATCACTGCATCCAAGATCAGACCAAGTTTTTAATGGATTCCCTATGGCTTTGGTTTCCTATTGACATTTTAACTTCAGGATCATATCAGGGATGATACAGACCTGTCTGGCTAAATCCTTGTCTTGGGCTCCTGTTTTGTCCAACAGTGCTACATGAGCTGTACCTTCCAATGAAATGTTGCTGGATGGGGTATGTTCAGGAGCTGTGCAAGCCAAAGCTGTGTCTGTAAAAGGCAGCCATCGCACAGTACATCCATACCATAAATCACTCTGGCACTTTAAGTCATACATGTCAAGTGCTTCTGGCAGATCAGCACTGACTGTTATGGTCTTGAGAGATGTTACATTTTTTTTTCACTTATATTATATGTGTGGAATCCTCACAATGAGAGTCATCAGAGTCACTGTCCCTGGAGGTGTTCAAGAAGTAGATGTAGTACAAAGGAACAGGGTTTAGTGGGCAACATTGGTGGTAGATGGATGGTTGGACCAGATGATCTTGGAGGCCTTTTCCAGCTTTGGTGATTCTGCGATTCTGTGATCACTCAAACTGGTCAAGTCATTCCAGTAAGAAAATGTTTTTCTCAGAAAAAAATAGTTTTATCCCGTGTGGAAGGCATTTATTTTCAAAACACTCTTCACATCATGTGAAGCTAGAAGTTAACAAACATACAGCCTTGGAGAGAACCACACTGCTGTCTAGCGCTAATGTAAATTGTAAGGTTATTTTGGCCTTGGAACTTAACTTACAACTGAGAGATAGGAATTACTGTTCTGTACTTCTTTATTTTAAACTTTCTATTACTTTTTTTTTTTTTTTCTAATGAATAATGTATGTGCTTGTTGAGAAAGGTAGGGAGCAGTCATGATTAAGAGACAAATGCAAACAAAATCCTGCTTTTTCACAGCTCACATTTTCCATCTTGGGGAAAAAAAAAATGAGGGTTTTGTTTTTTTTTCTCTACCATCAAACCCCTTTAACCTTAACATACTGTTCTTACTAGAATAGAGGGGGTAGAGAGAGAAAATGAAGATTGGGAAAGAAGTCAAAATCCAGACAAGAAACTTTTGGCTTGTTTCCAAAGGAAGAAAGTGTTCTGTGAAAACAAAACAAAGTGAGTTCCTTGGAGAGCAAAAGAAGCCCTCAGAAAGCCTGGAGTGCTTCAAACAATACTTTGCAGGTTCTTTTTCTTACACAGCACTTGGAAGCCAAATCTAGGTTCACTGACTGCTGTCTGTATCACCTAGGTACACACATTGAGTGACATGACATAACTTCTGTTCTGGCCTGCACCCTGGAAACCATAGCTCAGATCCAGTGGTGTAACTCTAAGGCGTGGTTGTCCAACCTTTAGACTTGCCTGGGCTGAATGAGTGAAGAGGAGTTGTCTTGGGCCACACATATGTAGTTGCTCCAAAAGTAATGCCTCCTATTTATTTCCATGACAACAGATGCAAGGAGCACAATAACACTGTTTAATTGATTGAGCAAATTCTCAACTACAAAACACGATTTTTCCACATAGTCACCAGCTGTGCATTTTTGCCAGCAGTGAATAAGAGCCTGTGAGCCAGGCTTGTAAAAATATGTACGAGTGGAGATAACCCACTGTCACTGTTGCCACTGCTGAAACACACCACCTACCACCTCACTGTGCTCACATTCACTGTTTGGTCTTCAGAAATCTTTCAGTGTCAGTGAACACTCACTGAGGAATTCAATGACACACCTTTGCTTCATCCACACTACCATGTCAGAAGCCATTCTGTCAGAGTGTCTGTCTCTCCGCTGCCATCTGTCAGACAGCAACCAAGTGTAATGGAATATTAGCAGGAAGGTTCAACCTCTACTGCTATACCATTTACATCTGCCTTTGACACTGTGGGAAACATGATGAAAAAGCAGGCATTAATCTTAGAGCAGATATATAGTTAATATATATAAGTAACAGGTGGGACATGTCTGCTCTAGGGGCTGCCATTTTAGGAAGGACAAAGGCCAATCATCAGATTCTGGGAGCAGCCTGGAAGCTGTGGGAAGTGCTGCCCCTAAGCAGGATGCACCAAGGGACACCCAAAATGTTTAGCTGAGTTTTACACAGCTAGGTATTCTTATTGACCTAGAATACTTTGTAGCTATATCTATTCAGCTATAATGATGGAGATGGTAATAAAAACCTGCAATTCAAGGAATCTATTCTGAGGCCAAGTAGAACCTGTTCTTGCCTGTCTACTTGTGCATAACCAGATGCCTTTTGAGGGCTTTTATTTCGCATCTTCGTGCACTGAGCCTCAGCTAGGAGGAAGATATGCAATGGCAAAGGTGGGAGACCCTTTTGTGAACTTTTTATGGCATCAGCAAGTTTGGGGAACAAACCTTAGGTAGATAGAGTAGGAAGCCATAGCAGTGGTAGCAGTGTGGTGGAGATCAAGGGAATGCAGCACAGGATGAGGTGAAATAGGTAGATAGTAAACCAGTGTGGGATAGATCAAGTAGCAGAACAGCAATTTAGAAGGAGACTGACAGAGCTTTAAGAGCAGCAGTCCTGGGTGATGCTTTAGATAACTGTTTTGAATCTAATAGCTTCATTTTCTTCTCTTGTTTAGTATTTCCTTCGGCTGGACAACAAGGTATTGCTGTTAGTGAACCACAGGAGTGCTTCCAGCTCTTTATCTTCCTAAACTGAAAAAAGTGGGGGAGATCAGAAGCTGAAGGAAAGAAAGAGCCAGCACAGCACAGCTGAGCAGGGCAGCACAGTGCAGAGCGGCAGGTAGAGGCCTTGTTTGTTGAGCTGGTTTCCAGGGAAAGCTTGTGCCTGCCCTTGGAGAAGAGGGAGGTGGGGAGCTGTTGGAGTAGAATGGCAAGGAGAGAACTGCAATGGCAACACACTGATTGAGTTTTCCTTCTGTCCATACACAAGAGGGGCATCAACCTTCCTTTCAGTAATCAGTTGTGAATGCGTATTGTAAGCTGTGGAACCAGAGGACCTCCCACTTACACCATTCAGACGTGGGATGCGATGCTCAGACTGAATCGCGTTCTCTAGTGGACTCTCGGTTACTGCCATTTTGTATACATCTTTTCCTGAACCGATGAGTTTTTCTGCTAATTCTTCAACGGGCGGATGAACAGTTTTTGCAGTTTTCTCCATCCTCTCCTCTCTCTCTCTTTTCCGGTGCCCGCTCCCGGCCTCAGCCACCTCCCCCCTCCGTTTCCCTACCCCAGTTCCCTGCGTTCCCCACTCACCCGCGACCCCACGGTTCCGGGACCCCAGAGGCCGGCCGCGCCGCCCCTACTCCCCCACACACGTGCTCTTCTCCCGCCACAGCCCTCCCACCTCCCTCTTCCCATTGGTCGGCCTGCCCGGGAGAAGGAGGTCTCGTCCAATGAGAGAGCGGTACGCAGTCCCGCCTCCGAAGCGCCAGCGAATGGGCTTTAAGAGCCGCGCGGCGGGCTGGCGGTTGGAGGTGCCTTTGGGGAGGGAGGTGACCTCTCAGCCTCCTGCGCCGGCATGGCGGGGCTGCGGGGGGCCCGGCCCGCGAGGAGTGGCCCCGGCTGCTGCTGGGCTCTGCCCACCGGGCTGCTGTGTGCCTACGGCTTCTTTTGCAGTGTGCGGCCCTCGGAGCCCTTTCTCACCCGTTACCTGTTGGAGCCGCACAAAAACCTCAACGAGACGCAGGTACTGGGCTGCTCGGGACCGGGTGCCCACTCTTAATTTCCATTCGCTGTGGGGTGACCGCCATCTCTTCTCCTCCTCCTTCCTCAGGTGTTCAACGAGATCTACCCAGTGTGGACGTACTCGTACCTGGCACTGCTGTTCCCTGTGTTCCTGGCTACAGACTACCTGCGCTACAAGCCTGTGGTGCTGCTGCAAGGCCTGAGCCTCATCGTCACCTGGTTCTTGCTGCTTTACGCCCAAGGGCTGCGTGCCTTCCAGCTCCTTGAGTTCTTCTATGGGATGGGCACCGCCACAGACATTGCCTACTACTCCTATATCTACAGCGTGGTGGATGTGGATCTGTACCGCAAGGTCACCAGCTACTGCCGCAGTGCCACACTGGTGGGCTACACGGTGGGCTCTGTGTGTGGGCAGCTTCTTGTGTCCCTAGCAGGGTGGTCCCTCTTCAGCCTCAATGTCATCTCCTTGACCTCCATCTCTGTTGCCTTTGGCACAGCGTGGTTCCTGCCGATGCCAAGGAAAAGCCTTTTCTTCCACCATGCCGCCACTCAGCCCTTCAGCTTGGAGATGAAGGTCATGGATTGTAAGAATGGGGCCATCGTGCAGGACCAGCCCGGTGTGCCAAGAGTGCCTGGATGGGAGGATGAGGTCAAAATGCCCTTAAACAGGGAGGGACATTCGGCAGAGAAAAAGGTGAGCTCCATCCTCCGTGCGCCTCATTTATTTGTGTACGCAGGTGCAATATCCAACAGCAAAAAGCATCCCTTCACCTACCCCACTTCCTTAATTATGGCACAGGCAAATCTTTTCCTGGTTTCCTCTTTCTGATTGAGCTTAGTAGGCTGCTCCTTGATTTTTCTGAAGTCACTCTGCACCTATCACAGGGCTTTGGTTAGATCTCTCTGGCTGTCAAATCTCTATCCAATGTTACAAGGTGTATCTCAGGGTGCTGAAAGTTCTGTGCTTCTCCAAATGCTGTGTTCGCTTCTAGATATGCCTGTGACTCCCAGAGGAAAGAAACTGATCTTTCTGTACCCACGTCTTGAATGCTTTTGCTCCTTTGAATATTATGCAAACTGCAGTAATACGCATGTAGCAATTGGTTTCTGTCTTATGATCCTGGAAGGGAACTGCTCCAGGAAGGGAGCTGTGGTAATCCTGGAAAGCATTTACAGACTGGTGCTGGATATTTTGCAGGGGATACCTTTGGTGTTCATTTAGTGCATTCCAGTTGTGCACCACAGTTGGTGCTAGCAGTGCCCCAGCTGCTGCAGGCCTGTGACCTCCAGCACAGTCAGCGGGGGGGGGGGGCTCCCAGCTGCAGGCTGTTACACGTGTTTGCAGCTTGTTGAGATGTGTGAGAACCTGTGGTGGCACAGGGTGCACTTGGGGCCCTGAGGAGAGTCAGCACTGCTCCTAGCCGTGAGAAGTCATGCTTCTTTGGGAACAGGGCACAAGGTAGGCGTGTCTGCTGCTTCAGGCAGCTGAGGTGTGATTCATCCTCGCAAGCAAGCCAGTCCCTGGAGCGAGAGGAATGGAGAGTTGGGCTTATATTTATTTAATTTTGAGATGGGTTGTGTTATTCCTGTGTGTGTCGGGGCTGGGGTTTGCTTGCTAACGAGGGAGCTTTATGCCCTAGCAGCCAGGCAGCTGTGGTTTGGGCACAACTTGCACGTACCCCGTTGCTGAGTTGGCAAGGGGAAAATGAAATGCTGGATAGAGTCTTTTGTTTTCTTTTCTTAAGGAAGTGATGTATATATCTTTATCTTGCTCTGCCTTCTGTTGGAAAGGAAGGGCAGCAGCATGGCACCTCAGTGGTGTTTGCACGTGCTTCTGCAGATTTTCTGCTTTTAGGGCAGGAGTGGCTTTGCTGAGGAAATTAAAAGCAAGAGTATATTTATCCATATTCTACTTGCCTGAATATTTGTTAAACAGGACTGAAATTCAGTGCCAATAAATGACAGGATTAACATCACCTTTCTGCCCCTTCTATTTATCTGACTCCCACCCCCCACTGCCAGGGACAGGGCTGCTCCAGAACTCGTGTTGGGGAAGGTGGGGGGGGGAGGAGGGTAGGGAGTAGGAGGGAGAGGGGGAAGGAATTCAGTACCAGCCTGGGGTTGGGTCACACCAGGTGCCAAAATCTGAGAGGCACTGCTGCCTGGCTGCAGCCTTAATTAAGGTAATGGCAAGCACATTTGATGAATGTACCATTATTTGCACTACCACTAATGTACAGAAGCACTGCCAGGAGGGATAGGGGGAGGGGCTGATGGGGCCTGTCCTGCTTATCAGGCATAAGTCTGTCAAGATTGCAAATCAGAGTCTGCAGTGTGTGACGGTCACAGATACTGTTTTTTTTTCCTGCACCTGGCTGCATGCTTTGTGTGCTGACCTCTTCTCACGTTGTTCTGATGGACTTTGCAGAAGCAGTGTCTGTGCAGAGTAAGCATCTTGCCTTTGGCAAAGCACTGAAGGGACCGTGTACTATTAAATAACGATGCTCAGAAATTGGTGCTACTTTGAGAAGTGTAAAAGGGGAGCTTAGGACAGAGTGAGGTCACAGCCTTTATTGGGGATTTCAGTGGAGACATCTCAAAATGAGACTTGTGGTTTGAAGGGAAGCAGTGCTGTGCCATGCTGTGTGTGCAGAAGTTCACACTGGCAGGTCTCCCTGCAGGGAATTTCAGCTCATAGGGGCTGGTGATGCAGCTGGGGTCAGGGTCTTGACTGAATCACATTCCATGTGAATTAACTGCTGCTCGGGCTGATGTGAGAAGGGTGGACTTTGCAAGCAGCTCTGGCTACAAAGTGAATGCGTGCTTGCTTCCTCTGCTGATTTGGAACAAAGTGGTGAGGTATGTTATCCCTAAGATTCATTACTTAAATTTTTTTCTGACCACTTTGTGGGTCTTTTCCTTTTCCTTTTCCCTTTTGTGTTCTTTCTTGTGTTCTTTCTAGAAAGATCTGGAAGAGAAAGGTTCACTCCTGCCTCATTCCTTTTGTCAAAGAACTTCTATGTGCAAGAATTGTCATTTGTGATGGTGTCTGATGGAAGGACCTTTCATTCTTTTTAGATCCTCAGACAATATCTCTCTTCTAAGAGCACTGACTGACATTAACAGGGATAGAGAGTGGTGCAATGGTACTGCTTCGTTGAATTCTTAACCCCTGAATGCTGGACTAAGGAAAATTGACTTTTATTTGTGAGGAGAAATATTTTTAAAAATACTGTTACTTGAATTCTTTCTATGCTGATCCAAATTCAACCAGACTTGCTAGGATTTAATAAATGAGCTGTCAGTGATGCTTTTGCCTTTGAGGAATGACTGACTTCTGATCTTGTTCCCTCAAAGTGGTTGTTGTCCCTAGTCTCTTCTCTCTGTTATCTGTCAGTTGCTCATGTAACGCTTCTGGTAACCAGCAGTTACTGCTCTGTAATGAAAGACAAATGAGGAGGGAGGGTGCTTATGACTGAGACCTTCCATCCCATGTAAGGAATCAGCACTTACATTGGTTACCTGGTTAGGGCAGGGATCAGCTCCTGGGACCTCTGTGTGATGAGGAATCCTTGTTCATTGCTTGGTGCAACTTTGTGTCTTAAAGTGGTTCTGTTACTCCTCAGTGACCAGACCTCTTGGAAGCTGTAATTTTGCAGAGCAGCCTGAATTATTTATAGACTAACATTTATCTTTCCCTCCCTCTCCAACTTAAGCAGGAGCAGAAAGTAGATGCCTTAGAAGTGCTCAAGGATCTCTGGCGGGACTTCCTGCAGTGCTATTCCTCTCGGACCATGCTGTGCTGGTCAGTCTGGTGGGCGCTGTCTACCTGTGGCTACTTCCAGGTCATCAACTATGTTCAGGGCCTGTGGGAGATGGTGCTGCCTTCTCAAAGCACAGAGATCTACAATGGTGGTGTGGAGGCAGCCTCAACGCTGCTAGGTAAGCTGCTAATGTAGCTCCTGCTCTGCTGTGAAAAATGTCTTATGTCCCTGAGTGTCACCAAAGCGCACTTTGGACATGTCTTATATTCCCCTATACGTGCGGGAGAGGGAATTTCTGCACTTGAGATGAGTCTTCCATGACATGCATGATGCAGTACTCAGCGCTGAGTTTGCTTTGTGAAGCTCTAATTCTTGTAATCCAGTGCATAGGTATTTAAAGGAGCATCCTGAGTCAGTTATTCTGAAAGACTTGGCAGAAGGCTCCAGGCATCTGGCTGCCCCTTCTTGGCTGCCACTGTAGCTACAGGCTTAAAGCAGTTGGGATGGTCGTTGTTTTAGCCACTCAAAGCCAGGGTAAAGATTCTTTACATTTACTGCTTTTTCTCTGGCAGTGTAGGGAACATATGAAAGTTTCCTGTACACATGCAGTGTGCAGTGAATTGCCATATAGTCATTTCAGCACTGTTAAGAAGAAAGGCTACATAAGATGAAGTGTCTCTTGACTTGAAAGGGCCAAGATGGTTGGTCAGCGCACAAACTTGTCTAATAAGTTGCTTAATACTGTTTCATTATCAGTACTAGGACAATACCTTTTTAATGTAGCTAACTTATCCTTCCAGAGGCTTTTTAGATGTTGCTGTAATATATTCCTTTTCTTTGATGGAACTTTGTTCTAACGATCTCCTATGCATGGTACTTTCTTGGGGGCAGAAGAAATCATGGTATCCCAACAAACAAGCTTGAAATCTGTCTTTGGCATGCTCAGCCCTATCTTGGAGTTTGGTGGGAGGCTCTGTCTGTTTTATAGCTTTAGAAGCTTATCTAATGTGTTAGCTGGGTTTGAACCAGTCAGCAACTTAATTCTTGAGTTTTTGACCATTGAGTTTTTGGGCTCGGGTGAACCTGATGAGGTTCAACACGGCAAAGTGCAGAGTTTTGCACTTGGGCTGGAGGAATCCCAGGCATCCATACAGACTGGAAGGAGCGGTCCTTAAGAGCAGCCCTATGGAGAAGGACCTGGGGGTCTTGATAGATGAAAAACTTAACATGAGTCAGCAGTGTGCCCTTGTTGCTTGGAAGGCAAATGGTATCCTGGCCTCTATTGAAAGAGGGATGGCCAGCAGGGGCAGGGAGGTGATTGTCCCCTTCTACTCTGCTCTTGCGAAGCCCCATTTGGAATACTGCATCCAAGTGTGGAGCCCCCAGTACAAAAAAGACAAGGAGCTGTTGGAGAGGTCCAGAGGAGAGCCACAAAGATGATCAGGGGACTGGAGCACCTCCCCTATGAGGACAGGCTGAGGGAGTTGGGCCTGGAGAAAAGAAGGCTGTGGGATGACCTCATTGCAGCCTTTCAGTACCTAAAGGGAGCCTACAAACAGGAGGGGAATCAACTGTTTGAAAGGGTAGGTAACTGCAGGATGAGGGGAAATGGTTTTCAGTTGAGGGAGGGAAGATTTAGGTTGGATGTCAGGGGAAAGTTCTTTACTGTGAGAGTGGTGAGGTGCTGGAACAGGCTGCCCAGAGAGGTTGTGGATGCCCCATCCCTGGAGGTGTTCAAGGCCAGGATGGATGGGGCCCTGGGCAGCCTGGTCTGGTATTAAATGGGGAGGTTGGTGGCCCTGCCTGTGGGTGGGGGGGTTGGAGATTCATGATCCTTGAGGTCCCTTCCAACCCTGTGATTCTGACTATTAAAGAGTTTTCTTTGAATGTCACTTAAATAGCATGTGGTGATATGCCTTCACAGCATGATACCATGGCTCTTATTTTAGTTATTTTTGTCTTCCGCTGCTATCCTGCCTTGGCCTCAGGAGAGAAAATAATTGGTAACAAGGGAAAGAAGTTGCCAGTTCAGTCAGTGTCTGGGTGCAGAAATAATAAGTCACCATCATCTTCTTACTTCAGCTGGAGAATGCTCTGTAAAGTAAGGGCATCTTCAGAGGGAAACTGTCAGGTTCTGAGATGTCTTTACTAAGCATCTAAATTTATTGTGTTAAGGGGGTATAACGTAGGCAGATTAAAAAAATAAAAAAAAAATAAATGGTATAAATATGGAGGTAATTATTCTTCAAATCTTTGAGATCGAGATCCCAGGTGGCCAAGAGGACCAACGGCATCCTGGCCTGCATTAGAAATACTGTGGCCAGGAGGAACGGGGAGGTGATCATCCCTCTGTACTCAGCTCTGGTGAGGCTGCACCTTGACTACTGTGTTCAGTTTTGGGCCACTCACTACAAGACATTGAGGCCCTGGAGCATGCCCTGAGAATGGCAACAAAACTGGTGAGGGATTTGGGAGTACAAATCTTATGAGGAGCAGCTGAGGGAGCTGGGATTGTTCAGTCTGGAGAAGAGGAGGCTCAGGGGAGACCTCATTGCACTCTACAACTTTCTGAAGGGAGGCTGTGATGAGGAGGGGTTTGGCCTCTTCTCCCAGGCAAAAAAAAAAAAAAAAAAACAGGACCTGAGGAAATGGCTACAAGTTGTGCCAGAGGAGATTAGAAATAAAGATAAACTTTTTCTCTCAGAGTGGTCAGGCACTGGAATGGCTGCCCAGGGAGGCGGTGGAGTCGCTGGCAGTGTTCAAGAGGTGACTGGATGAGGAGCTGCGAGATATGGGTCAGTGCTTGTGGTAGCAGTGGTAATGGGAGCAGGGTTGGACTAGATGATCTTATAGGTCCTTTCCAACCTTATGGTTCTATGATTCTATGCTTATCAAATCCTGTAAACAATGGCCTTAAAAAAGGTAGTTTCACTCAACTCAGGCAAAGCTACATTTTTTATTTTTTTATTTTTTTTCCTATCTGATATCTTTTCTGCAAAGGGCTGAGTCATTTTGGGAGATGCTTTCAGAAAACGAATTAGCTTCTCTCTTGGAACCACTCATAAAAGAGAACCAAAAAATTCTTCCGCTTGATACAGACTAAGTACTTGGAACAAGTGAAGATTAGTAATCTCAGCTGAAAGCTTTCAGTAACCTAGACAGTGGGATTGAGTGCGCCCTCAGAGAGCGTGCAGGTGACACTAAGCCGAGTGATGTGACAGAATGGAAGGATGCCATCCAGAGAGACCTGGACAAGCTTGAAAGGCAGGAGGGTGTGAACCTAATGAGTTTCAATAAGGCCAGGTGCAAGAGGCGTTGCACTTGGGTCAGAGTGATCTCAAGTATGTATACAGACTGAGAGAAGAACTCAGAGTAGCATTGAGGAGAAAGATTTGAGGGTCTTGGTGGATGAAAAACTGGACAAATATGTGCTTGCAGCCTGAAAGGCCAACTGTATCTGTGGGCTACACCAGAAGAGGGGTAGCTAGCAGCACGAGGGAAACGATTGTCCCCCACTGCCCTGCCCTCATGAGGCCCCATCTGGAGTAGTGCATCCAGGGCCATGAAGTCCTGAAGGCTGGAGCAGCTTTCTTGCAAAGACAAGCTAAGAAAGCTGGGCTTGTTCACCCTGGGGAAGAGAAGACTCTGGAGACCTCTTTGTATCCTTCTAGCACTTGAGAAGCATTTATAATCAAGAGGAAGGCAAACTTTTTCCATGGTTTGATAGTGATGGAACAAGAGGGAATGGTTTTCGACTAAAAGAGGGGAGATCTAGATTAGATGTTGGGAGAAGGTTTTTACTCAGAGGGTGGTAAGGCACTGGCTCAAGCTCAGAGGAGTTATGGATGCCCCATTCGTAGGGGTGTTTAAAGCCAGGCTGAACATGACCCTGGGCAACCTGATTTAGTGTCTGATTTGGTGGTTTACAGATGCCTACATCAGGAGAGTTTGAACTAGATGATCTACAAAATGATCTTTTGCAATCCAAGCCATTCTGTGATTTTTATGTATAATAGGACTAGAGGAATCTGAGATGATCATCTAATAACCTGACTTTCTAGGCAGTAATGCATATGCTCTCACTTCTGTTTTCCAGTTTGAATGTATTTATGAGCAGTATATTTCTGACTTCACATAAAGGCTATGTTTTTGAAAGCTTCTCATTTTGGCCTATCTGTAGATGTTCTTTATCATGGGCCAGTGCTGCCAAGCTTTTGTACGTATTGTTTAGTACATTTGAGCTCATCTCACTGGCCCCTCTTTGCACCAACTTTGTATCATATCTGATTTGAGTTGCCTTCTTTTTGAAGATGGATGACTAGAACAGCACTCAGCTTTATTCAAGGAGCCCTTGATCTTGTAGAAGAACATGAATGCACTTCACTTCTCTCTCTTTACTGAAAATCTCTGATCTCTGTCCTGGTGCATCCCAGATTTCATCTGCTGTTGTCATGGATCTTAGTCATCCTGTGATCAGTTATGGGCAATGTCTGTTTACGTTCACATAACATGCTGCTGCTATCCCTGCCTGTACATGTGCTGCTCTGCAGAAGGATTTGAGTAGAGCATAGTGACTTAGGTGTCTCTCAGCTTCCTGTCCTGTGTGACATAAATATTATTCTTTCTAGTCAGGTCAACTGACTGTTTAGCCAAATCTATGCGGTTTCTTAGGGTTGTGGCAGACCTTCATCAGGCTGGGATGTGAAAACACTGGATCAGCTATATGTGTTTAATTGCTGGACACATGTTGTATATATTATAATCAGGTACTGGACTGGTATAACCTTGAGCATTATTGGAAATACAACTTTGAGTTGTTCCTAGATCCCCAGAATGAGACACTGAATGCCTCCTCCCAAATCTCAAAATTAATGAGATGATGGAAAGAAGACTCTAGGACCTAGCTTCTTTTTGCATATTAGTGTTTCTCTGCTAGGGAGAGCCAGGCTTTCAGAGAACAAAATGTCAGTCAGGTAGTATCAGAGCAGGCACTGGGAAGAAGAGTTTTGGTTGGAGTGAATATGTTCTTTCTCCAAGGCAAAAAGAACTACCTTTTCTAGTCTGCAAGATTATTGTGAGATCTGACAGGATTGCAGATGTATGCCCCTGACAAAAAGAGCCTCTGTGTTTTGAGATTTTTCTAAGAGAACAGTCCAGTTGAGGGCTACAAAGCCTAGATGTTGCAGTGTAGAACTTCTGTATGGTGATCAAATGCTGAATACAATCCTGTTTTTCAGAGCTTTCCAGTAAGCCTCCCTTTATCAGTATGCTGTTTGTCTAGTTCTAGCAGCAGTATTACAGTATTGGTTGCTCTTTCACTTGTTTGCAAAACAAAGCCTATTTTGAATAGGAATTTTCTTGTAATAGATATCTTGGCTTCTTAGTAGTTACAGCTGTGACAGTGCATGAAATGCACCTTGCCTGCAGTTTGAGAAGTGCATATTTCATGCTACCCATTTTGGGATCTGTCTTGTTCCATCTCCACTTTTCTAAAATCCAGCAGGATCTACAGACCTGTTCTAGTTATAAAGGATTTTTTGTGCACAGTCAGTGGTAAGATTTTCTTTTTTTATGGCCTCAATAGTTTGTAATGAAATTTTGTCATTTTTAGATCTGGGTTTGATCCCATGCTCTCACTTAATGAGCCCAGTGGGAAGATGACATTAAGTGTAAGTTTTCCTGCCTCCTAAATGAGAGTTCTAGCAGCTGCCTGTCAAAGTGGAGATACACCCAGTGAATGCAGACCCTGAAGCACCACAGCACTGTTAACAGGGTGCTTCTGTAAAGCAGTGTTTACATTTCTGTTGCCTGCTTGACAACACTTCTATGATCAGAGCAACTATGTTCTGAGTCACGAGGTTGCTGTGCTTATGAAGCCAGGCAGGAGATTTCAGTAGGAGTCATCTCACTGACCTATTTTGTTTTTCCCCATTAGCATAAATAGGAGCTAAGGTGTGTGCATAAGTATCTTCCATTTCACTTGTGTTTAGGTAGTAGAGGCCATATGACTAATACTGTGTCCAAATTTTTCCAAGTGCAGTAACTAATAGTTATGCTTTCCTTCCCTTCACAGGAGCTGTTGCAGTATTTGCTGTGGGTCATATAAAAACATCCTGGGCCATGTGGGGTGAAGTGGCACTTGCCCTGTTCTCCTTTCTTATTGCTGCTGCTGTATATATTATGAACACTGTTCACAACATCTGGGTGTGCTATGCATCTTATGTTGTCTTCAGAATTATTTACATGCTGCTAATCACAATAGCAACGTAAGTGTATATTTTTTTTAATGTAAATTACTCTCAAGATTATAACTGATGTGAAAGCTGACCTATTTTCTATGTAAGCAGTGTCTCACCTTGATTCAGGAAATCTGTTGCAAGGGTTTGTGTTCTGATTCAAGTTGGAAACTGTGGCACAGCGGTGTGTATTTTGCTGAAAGTGTGCCCAAGATCAAATGGTGTTATTTAAAAAATATTTTTAAATATTTAAAAATATATTTTTCTGAATGTTTAAATATTAGATTGCCCTGGCAAGAAGCACTATTTCTGTAAACATGGCTGGGGTGAAGTGTTAGCCATGAGGAGAGGACAATACTTTATCCATATTATGGGGTCAGTTTTCCCTTTTGTATACTGGAGAAGACTTCTTCAGTGTCACCTCCTTGCTTTGAGGAGGTAAATGCAGCTGTTGTTGAGCTTATACCCAGTGCTGTGTGACAGCCCAGGTACTTTGGAGGGGAGATGGTGAAACTGGTAACTGCAAAGGCCACGGCCCACACTGAGGTAGGTTGATGCTTAAAGGCCAGCAGTTTTTGAGATTAGAGGGCATTGTACCTGTTCAGACTGCATCAGACAGAGTTGCTTCAATAAGACTGAAACCCACAAGCTTCCCAAAGTATCTGTAGCTTCTTATATGTCTCTGGAGTCTCCACTAGTCTGATCCTAGTTAGACAAGTATACTACCAGTGCAAGCTGATTTAGCTGTAGAGAACATGTAGCTCCTCCATTGCCTAGTTATACAGAGATGTTCCTCCTAGTCTTACATTTCCCTTCTTCTTCCCCATCTTTATGTTTCTGTCCATCCCTGTCTCTCCAGGTTTCAGATTGCTACAAATCTCAGTGTGGAGCGGTATGCTCTGGTGTTTGGGGTCAACACATTCATTGCCTTAGCACTTCAGACTTTACTCACATTAATTGTCGTAGATGCCAGTGGGCTTGGATTGGACATCTTCACTCAGGTTTGACAGACTTTTTTCTTTACTGATGGGAGGGAGGAATGCAAAACTAGGCTATGAAGTCTCTCAGCCACTGGTTTCTGGGGCAAGGGTTTGCTGATAAAGAAATGCTTACTAATTCCTGATCTTTAAGAATAAGGAAGCTCATGAATTAACCTTCTTACGTGTTTAGTAACTGTTTTGTTTAGTCACTTTTTCCTTCTCTTCTCTGCAGTTCATGATTTATGCATCGTATTTTGCGGCTATCTCCCTGGTGTTCTTGGGCAGTGGTTTATACAGTATTATGAGAGCCCACAGAAGACAAGAGCGGGTGCGGAGCAGGTCTCCTGAAAGCTGTTAGTGCACTACGTGAAGACTGTGTGGCTACATATGAAGACAGAGGTCTGTTTTTAATCTCTGCCTTTTCTTCCCAAGGCAGCCATCTTGATGGTACTTGATCCATATTTATACTATATTAGTAGTACACTTTAAAAGGTAAATGTATTGGGTCTTACGTAAGTAAGAACAAATATCTTCTTTCTAAAATGCCTTTTGTTCTTCTGTTGCATGTTTGGGATGCGTGATGAAGAACAAATTTCAAAAAAATGAAAGCCTTGGGACGTTTTAGTCTAAGGCTGTGCATCTGGAGGCTGCTGTAGGAAAGGCAGCTTTAGGATTGCCTGGTCAGCCACTGTTCTTGTTGTTAAGATGCTGCTGCATAACGGGTGTGTTCAAAGACTTCTTTCTGCAGAGACTTGGGCCCAGGAGAGGCGGTGGCCTTAGGCCTGTGCTCTGCAGCATGGTTCTCACAGTGCCTGCCCTGTGATGCTGGTTACTTTGTTTTGAGGTCTCTGACACTAAGATTTCTGCATACGCACATGCTTCCTTCAGTTGTTTGTACTGTTTCTGCTGCTTGTCTCCTATCTCCGCTGTCAGATTTTTACTATAGCTAATAGTGTTGCCTCTCCAAAAGCCTAAGTGTGTCCTGGGGCAACTTGTGGCAGCCCTGAATTGCTCTCAGTGATGCTACTTCTGCTGTGAAGGCCTGTGCCCAAGGGAATGTAAAGCTGTAGGGGAGCCCAAGAGGGATCCATTTTCAAGTGGATTAGGTGCTAGTCTGCAGAACCACTTGATGTCCTTGCCTTTGTCCTCAAGGGTTGCAGACTGTTGCAATTGTATGAGTCACTGATTCATAACCCTGATGGCTGGGCTATCTCAGTGGGATGGTGGATATGAGTGCATCATCAGAGGAGGAAGGTGACTTGCAAGATTTTAGACTGTTCTGTGTAACCTCAGAATTGTGACTGCCGTTACTGTATTTACTTCAGTTACTGTATTTAACAGAATGAACTCTTGAGGTCTTGAGAAATACTGATTACTGCTCTGTCACTCCTTCCCATTTTAAAGCGCCTCTGTTTCTGGTGGGTCTGCATCACTAGTTCTGCCTCATTTTTTCCACTTAAGCAAAAAGAAAAGAATATTTGTGGGAGAAATGTTTTATTTTCTTTGGTCTGGACAATTTGGGTCTTGCCTCATAGCTGATTTTTAAAATAATTTATTTGTTCCAAATTGCTTCAGCACTGGTGAGGAGTTACACAGAGCTGTCCTAGACCTGGGCACCTGGGTACTCAGGCACCATAACCAGCACAGCACTGTGGGCATGTCCTGCAAATTGTCCCTGTTGCTGTGCAGGTTGCGGTTTTAAGCATATGGAGAACTGGCAAGGGAGAACATGTTGTACAGTCTGCTTCTTTTCCATGCCTACTCCTTGTGCAGCTGGAGTTATTCCAGTCAGCCTCGAAGAGGCAGCTTCATTTTATTGCCTGGTCTGTCTTGTGCTGTGGAGAACTCATAGCTTTTTCTCTCCTGCCTGGAAGAGGTACAGCCATTCTCATCATTTGTGTGAGCCTTAGTCTTAACCACACAAAATGAATGACTAACACATTTGAGATTATGCTCTGTGGGGTCTGTGGAGCTCTTCCAGGTTGGCTGTGCCAGGAGATGCACTCTCCAGAGCTTCATAGTACCAGCGGCCCACCTCCTGAAGTGTCTTCAGGGTTCAGCTGTAGTGACACTGAAATGCATAAATTTAATTGCCTTATCCTGAAATAGAAACTTGAAGCCACCTATGTATACGTTCCCTTCTTTAATGTATTAAAAAAAAATCTGAAGCTGTGAAGTCTAGCTGACAGGGTGTCTTGAGAAAGGAGTAGAAAGAGCATCTTGTGTCCTTTGGACTCCTTAGCCTGATGACAGCTGTGACATGAGATGAGGCATGGATACATGGCACTTGTATCAAGTGACTGAAAGAAGCAGCTCAATTTTACTGTTTTTATTACAGAGAATAAATGTTTGATGGGGAGCAACACAGTTATTAAAAAAAAAAAAGTCAAATAGTTATGAGTTACAGCAGTAACAATGATTTTTTTTTTTTCTACAAAAGTAATGAAATTGTAATAGAGCAGCATGTTACACTGTGTACATCTTCAGGCCTGTCAAAGTATGAAGGCTATGGATGTTCTTATGTTGTGCTGCTGGTGTGGTGATGAAATGCCAGTGACTAACTGCAGCTGTACACAGAATTACTGATGCCTATGAAATTCTGTAAACATGTTGATACTGTGGGTAGGACCCATTCACCTTGTTTCTAATTTAATAGGTATTTTTGTTAAATAAAAATTTTTCAAGATACCATGTGTGGTCAATGTCTTTCTGTTATCTTGCTAATCCATGGTGTTGCTGCCATTAATGTTTGCAGGTTGTCTTGAGCATCTCTGCTACAAGGGGGGAAAAAAATCTGGACAAACCATGCAAAGAATCAACTATCATCTTCTTGGCTCTGTTTTGTATAGGTTTGCAGAACTCTGTGTGAGTGTCTTGGCCTTGGGGTTCCTTAATTGCTGAGCAGTTCAGAAATCCCATTCTGTAGTTCTAATACAGACTGCAGCTGAGGGAGAACTTGGTGCAGGGTAACCCTGGACAGGAAGCACAAGTCTCATTAAGGTTGACTGCAAGGGAAAGCAGGTGTGTTTACTGTGCAGGTGGATCTTTCTATTTACATCAATCCAATTACAAAATTGAGGTTCTAAGGCAGAACACTATAGATTTCCTGTCCAGGCACATCTATGCTTGATTACATTAGGAAGCTGTCCTTGTGCTGTACTTCTGGAAGAGATGACTGCTACCTGCTAGTGCAGGCTGGGCTTAAGGGGGGGAAGTACTCTCTGGGCTACCAGACTGTGGCAAGGTGTGGGGAGTAGCCAACAAGCCTTCTGTATTGCTTGTTAAGAGGAAAAAATAGGTGACTGGGAAGAGTGTGTGTGTATGCTAGGAAAAAATGCAGTTCTTGCAAGTATTTCCTTGAGAGCCTTATTGCTGAGGCAGGATGGATGCAACTGTCAGTACGTCAGACATGTGAATTTCATTCTCTGCCTTATCTGGGTGAATAGGAATGCCAGCATTAGCTTCTTGAATGTGCAGGGGATTAAAATCTATGCTTGCATAAAGCAGGGAACTAATTAATAGTTCAGATAGCATAGCATTACATTTCAAGGCAGATTCAAGTGTTTCACATCTCTGGTGCTGATGAAAGGTGCTGTGACAAGAATCCTGATGCTGCTTCTCTTCTGTGAGCAAAGCAGGTCCACGTGAACTGTGGCAATCCCTATTGCTCCTCCCATTGCACACTGCCACAGTGATAGCTGAGAAGGGACGTCAAGCTACTGCCACAAACTGGATTCCTGCCTTAGCAGCAGGTGTGGTTTGATAGGGACGAGAGAAATACCACACGTGGCTGAGCTGCTTCCCTGGGACGTGGTGGCTGGTACCCTTTTCAGGTAAGTGTCAAAACTGAATCTGTGCATCCTATGCTCGGTTTGCTGAGGTCCTTACATAGCTCCTGGGCTTCTGCTCCTTGTTAGGGGAGAGGCTTGTGTTCAAAAGATAAGGAACAGTGGGAGCTGCTAGAGGACTCAGTACAGCAGGCAGCACCCACTGCTGTGCTTCTGGGCTGTCATTGGCCTTGAGAGCCTGTGAGGGCACTGCAGAGTTATGTTAAAATTTGCTGTGGCTGTGTGCATATGTAAAGCAGGGGCTGTTTTGGCTGTGCTTTCAGGGAAGGGAAGGGCTCTGCATAGATATGATTACATTTTTTACTTTGGCACAATTGTAGCTAATTACTGGGAAGGAAAGAGAGACTTCAGTTATGAAGGAGGGCAGGGGGCTAGCAGCTCCAGTTCCTATTCCTAGTGACATATGGCAGTGTCAGCTCTCTCCTACTAAAAATGTGGCAGTGCTTGTTCACTGGTTCTCTGCAGGTGTCACACAGCCTTTCTCTGTTAAGCACACTTGTCCTGTATAAATTGGTGTTTCCTACATGCAGTATCTGGTGCATTAGTGACATGAAAAAGAGCAACCAGCATGTAGGAAACCTGTCCCTGGAGTGCTGCACTGCTCAGCTATTGTTTCCATTGCATTTCTTCACAACCGTGTTGTGTTGTGGTTCCATCACAGAAAGGAACATCTGAAGACATAAACTTAATGACACACGGGTTCAAAAACATGTGCATGTTTTTAGATTCATCTTGAAATATAATTACATATTCATTATCAGGCATTAAAGCTTGATCTTTCAGCAGTTGAGTCTAATCCTTGTCTTACAATCAGGCTGACTTGTAATTAGAAGAATAAAGCATCTCTGGTAAATGAAAAGGGTGGCACTGCTTTGTAAGATGAAGGGTGTGCTAGAAGTAGAAGAGCACAGAGAGAACTGGGGCAATATCAAAGTTTTATTTTAGATGCTGTGAACTTGTCTATGCATGTAAATGTTGGGAACTGAAACTCTGGAGTGTCATCTTCACATACAGGCTATCTGACCCTGCCTGAGGCCAGTTTTTGCTACTGCAGCAGGGACCTCCATCAGTAGGTAACGCGTTATCTGAGGTAAATACCGTGGGGCCCTCCCTTCCCTATGAAGCATTTGGCCTTCTGGTGTGGTTCTAGGCTGTCTCTTTCAGCTTTGTTAGGCCTTTTTAAATCAAAACAGGGCTCTACTGCCATGTTGAGAATAACAAGCTGCATGACAGGACATCTCCTTGTCCCATTCCTGTGCCCACTGTGCTGCTGTGGCCCCAGCCTCCACGCCAGCAGGAGCCCGGAGAAGGAGCATGCCCCGCAGTGAGGTGTGGCAAAGCGCCATGCTCTGCACAGGGAAAACGTTCCCGTTCTTAGTGTGACCTGAGGGTGGCTGGGCCTGCAGCTTGGGGGGAGAGGCTGTTGGGGATGAGCCATCTCAGCCCAGAAGGTAATTTTATTTAGGATTGTTTCTTAGTTCACATTTCAAAGCTGTTGGAGCGATGCACGATTATCACAGAGGGGCACTTCCCCAGCGGTGTAGCACTAACAAACATTCCAGATTTGATACTGCCGCATGAACGACGCAGCGCAAAGCTTCCGGCACCGGAATGCCCGCGGATGGGCCCAGAGGGCCGCCATGCCGTCCCCACGGCGACGGGGTGGCGCCGCCCGGTGGCAGGGCTCGCGCCCGCCTTTGCCATGGCGACGGCCACTGGGGAGGGAGTTTGGCCCTCGGGGGCCGCCATCGGTGGTGACCGTTGCTGCGGAGTGGGGGGGGAGGGGAGCTGTTGCCATGGCAACATTACCGCGCCTGGCCGAGCCGCGCTCTGAGCACCAGCGAGGCCCGGAGGGGTGGGCCTGAGGCCACAGGGGCCTCCATTGGTGGGACCAGGGGTAACGGCTTTAAACTAAATTTAGATGACGCGCTATGGAGAAATTTGTTACGCAGAGGGCGGTGAGGCCCCGGTACGGGCCGCCCACAGAAGCTTGTGGGTGCCCCATCTCTGGGGGCGTTGAAGGCTGGGTTGGTTGGGGCCCTGGGCAGCTTTAGCTGGTCGGGGCCCCAGCCTCCCGCGCGGGGGGCAGGCAGGGGGTTGGACACGGATGGGCTTTAAGGCCCTTTCCAGCCCAACTGTTCTATGGAACTGAAGATCTGAGATTCACTAAAAATTTCTGGTCCCTCCTGAAGCTGAGTGCTTTTAATTCTTACTTCATAATTCCCACAATGGAGCAGGAGCTGATTCAGGATCTTCTGGAACAGGATTGTTAAGCTAAACTGACAGTACCTCTTCAGCCACAACTGCTTCATGCTAAGACAGAAGAGGTTGAACTCACGCTAGCCTCCTTTGTTATCTGCATCATTAAAAAAAAAAAAAAAAGAAAAAGAAAAGTGTTCACTATTAAGCAGCAGAGATTGTCGTGAATGTGTTTTGTTAAAGGCACAGTTCAGCTTTGTGCCTTTTAAAACTGCTTCACATAATTATGAAGAAGCGTAGGAGGAGTAGTTCTTTGTGCTGAGTATGTCCTAGAGTGAGGTAACCTCTGTTAGGAACTAAGGTATGTGCCACTACCCAGAGCAAAGGAGTTTGGGAGGAAGGGGCCTTTCCAAGCAAAAAGATTTGTGTCTGTCATGAGTGGAGGTGCAGGTAAAACGTGAGGGGAAATAGATGTGGCGTAGAAAGTCAAGACAAGAATCAGAACAAGTCTTGAAAATTTTAACTCAAGAGTGACCTGGTGTGACCTGAAGTGATTATCCCAGCAAGTGGTAGCTAAACAGAAATGAGAGCTAGGAATAAAAAAGTGTCCAGATTTCCTTGAACTGAGAATGGCTTAAACAATAAGGAGCTTTCATAAGGGCTGTTTGTATATAAGTTTGCAATAAAAGTACCAGCCTTATAACTGTTCTTTCCTTGTAACTAAATCTTGACTAAATTTCGAGGCCTAAAAGAACAACGCACTCATCGTGCATAGAACAAAAAGTTGTGAGAGACAGAACTGTGTGTGAGTACATAACTGAGAACTCAGTGATGCTCATCAGAATATAAAAGAAAAGGTTCAGCAGCAGCTTTTGGATGTTACAAAACATATGGCAAGATAATTAGGCAGAGAGGGAAGTCCAGGCATAGCCCTTCCTGTCTGGAACAGCAGGGCAGATCGAACAGCCGGAGTTGTCCTACTGTTCTGGGGCCCTCCTGGCTCAGAGCTAATTCCTGCATCCCATGTTGTGCTGCCACGTGCTTACTCATATTGAGATCCTATAGTGTTTGTGAGGATGCAAAGTAATTATAGGAGAGAGATGTGGAAGCGGCAACTTCAGGTAACAGCAAAGGGTGCAAAGAGGAAGGGAACTTTTGAACAGCTTCCTTTTATGTTGCTTCAATAAACAAGTAGAAACAAATTAGGGATTGAATGATGAGTGGCTAACGCTGTTAAAAGAACAGTATCAGCTGTCTGGCCTGTGTCTCTGCACACCTTCAACCTTATTGTGACTTTAGGTGGGAGTGATTCCAGGCAGGCATCCTGGCATCCAAACAGGAGCCATTGGCACCTATGTGCTGTGCAGTCCAAAGACTGTTTAAAAGACTCTATGGTGGCTTATCTTCAGTTTTGTCATGAGTTTGACTATATCCAGCTTGATTAACTGGCTACTCTTTCCCATCGTTACCCTTTTCATCCATTCAAACCAGAATGGAATCTTTTTTCCGTCAGTCTCACGTGGTCTATCTGACTTCCTGACCCCAACTATTAGTGGAAATAACATGGTGTGAATGCTGGCTGCTTGTATATGTTTGGTAATGGTAGCAGATGGCTCCTGCCCAGTCAGTGAGTGTCTTTCATTTTAATAGAAGCTTTTTGTTGGCTCCTTTTAAGCTGTGACATAGATCTTCTAGAATCCTACAGCTTTGTAATGTAACTTAAAAATATTTAAAGGAGAGGGGGGCAAGCAGGTAGAGGGCAATGCTGAGGATGTAAAACCCACCTGGGAGCATTGAAAGCTCATAATACCTCTAAAAATGAGAAAATAGTGATCTTTTTGTTAAATAAGGAGAATACCAGTTAGGAGATTGTGTGTCAAAAACTGTGAGAGATGCTGAGTATGTCGTCTTGCTGTGTTTTGATTCAAATCTTCCTCCTCCTAATTAGAGCTGGAAAGGCCAAAGCCATTCATATTATTAAATCATCCTTAGTTCTGCGATGCCGTGGCACTGCCTTACGTGGTTGTACTGATACTGCTTGCAAGTTTGATGTGGTGCTGTGGGAGGTAGCTGTGTTCTGTGCTGGAGTTTTAAAACATTTATTCCTTCTTTCACAGCATCATTCTACCATAGCACCAAAATGAGTGAAAATGAAGACCAGGCTAGTCTGGCAAATATGGATAATTTAACAGAAGGAGAAGAATATGAGGATGACTTTGAAAAAGACCTTGAATGGCTAATTAATGAAGAGGAGAAGGAAAACCTTGGTGAAAGAGAGGTATTTGTTAAATTAAATGTTAGTCGTTTTATTTAGAAGGCCAAAAGAATATACGTTAAGCATACTAAGCACTAAATTCACTGTGGTTTGAGATGCGTGGGTATGCTCTTTGAATTTTGACAAGGAAGGTTATTTGGAATGACAGCAGAAAATAATCCAGTGACCTGGTTAGTTTGCTTACAATTGTCTTAACACAAAAAATTCAGTGTTCATTGAAAATGTGTTTGGTACAAAAGTACTGCTTCCAGTGCAGGCTCCTTGGAGTACTCGTGCAGCACATTGCTCTGTTTTCACATTATCACTGATTGCTTCAATGCTCGAGCCGTGGTTAGTTAAGCTTTTTGTAGATATGTACATGGAGAAAATGTTTTATTAGTGTGGAAAAAGCTATTTGTTAATCTGCTCTCTGTGTGATAGCCCCTTTTAAAATACGTGTACGTAGTACTGCTTTCCTCTTTCACTCTTTCTTTTCTGTTTCTTGGATACTATTCTTTGTTGAGAGAATAAATTGAGACAAAGAGCTTATTTTTTCAGACTCCTGAAAAGAAAGAAGACGACTTTGAGGGGAAAAATGTTAAAGTCATGGCAACCTTTGAGGAAGACCATGAGAAAATGGAAAACGATCCAGATGAGCTTTCAGAAGGAGGCATAGATGTGAAAGTGAAGCCCCGTGAGGAAGAAAGTTTGATGTCTGGATCTGACATGAAAGAGGGAGACCAGGTTTCTGATACTGATAGTGAATGCTCTATCCAGGAATCCAAGTTGGAAAACCAAGAGGAACTGGATGAGGAGGTAGATGAAGAAATAAAGCGTTATGTCTTGGAAAAAATAGAGGAAGCCAACAAACTGCTGGAGAATCAGGCTCCTGTGGGTGAAAACAGAGAGCGGAAATTAAAATTTAAGGATACTTTGGTGGATCTTGAGGTTCCTCCTCTTGAAGATGTTGAAGTTTATAAAGCAGACCTTGCAGGAGGAGGTGATGTTTCAACTAAGCTGTCTCAGTTGCATATTTCTAATAAAACGGGACCAGAAAGCGCATCACTTTCATTCCCTGCTGGCAAGAATGAAGAACAGAAGAATGGTAAAGTCTTAGTGGAAAAAGATGGAAAGTTTGAGCTCTTAAGTTTACGTGATATTGAAAGCCAGGGCTTTTTGCCCCCAATAAGTGTTTCTTTCACTGATATTGAAACCCAACGTATGCCGCCAAAATCCTCTCACCTCAGTTCTTCTGGCACCATCTCTAGAATGAAGGAAGTACGTCCAATAAGACAAGGCATACGTTCTTTTTCTCCTGCTGCAGAAGAGTGTGCCTTTTTGCCTAAGCCTCCGTCTAACCCTAAACATCGTCCAAATTCTGCTATCAGTGCTGCAAGAGGTCTGGGAAAACGGAAGACTCCACCAAGATCACAGTCTGCAAATGTGCCCTTGAGAAGTTCCACTTACTGCCTTTCTCCTAGACAAAAAGAACTACGGAAGCAGTTGGAACAAAGGAAGGAAAAACTGAGGAAAGAGGTAAAGATACAGAGGCAACAAGCAGATCACAATGACCATCGCATTCCTCTGCCTCATAAAGGCCACGTGGTTACAGCATTTACTCTGTTCTTTTATGATAAAAGAGGCAGTAGTAATATTAATTCTCTGGAGTTTGCATAGAATCTCTTAAAATTCCTTTCATTTTCTTAAAACGAACCAAAACCCAACAGAATTACAGATAATGACATAGGATTATGCCTTGCTCACAGGAGAAACAAAATATTTAATCCTCTCCTCATATATAGACTTTCTTTTGCTTTTCTATACTTACAGCTTTTGTTTATTGACTCCCTCAAAATTCCATTGCAAACCCATTATTTACTGAAACACTGTACAAGGTATCGCATCCACATTGCAGTGTAATCTGTGGGGAAACCACAGTCATGCAGGTGCACATTTGGGTGCTGATGAAGCAGGTAATTGACAACTCTCATATGGGACAGCGTTTAGTCATAAAATAGGATTTTACACAGGACAGTGACTGTGAGAACTATGAACAAGAGTGCATGTGTTTCAAATGTGTGGAAGACTTCACAAGGAGCATGCCTTGTTGGCTGCATGAGCTGCATGCAGGTAATATCACCTTGAAAGATAATGCAACAGGATACTTTTTTTTTCCCTATAAATATTTTGCATGGCTGTTGTAGTACATTTTCTTAATGAGTTTGTTGCAAAGTGGGACTCTTTCCCTTTCTCTGTGAATGGATATTGTTTTTCCTTATTGGTTTTACCTGCTTGCTACACAGAGGACAAAAGGAAAAAAATATTCCCATGGCAGAGGTTGTTATACTCGTGTCTATACAGGGCAGTCAAATAAAAGGGGGGGGGGGGAAGTATATTTTAGAAAATCAAATCCCTGTCTATTCAGGGATTTATATACTCAATATTTTATTATTTCTTCAGCTTCTTTTTCAGAAAAATATTTAATAGCAGAATCAGCTGCTGACAGCTGCTAGCAGGAGCTTCATAAATCTTTAGTGGAGTCTTTAAAAACAGGGCTGCCTTGTTTCACTTTGGTGATACAATTGGAGAAAGGAAAAAGCTTGTGATATGTTGCAATTTGTTTTTCTACTTAAGAGTTAAATATTCAATTTTTTTTTGAAGAGCAACGTTTCAATTCACAAATTCTATGTGAGCGTAATAATGGTCACATTTAAAAATGTTCCTTCCAGACCTGACAGGTAGCATGGATTCTACCCAAGCTGTTCACACTCCTCTAGGCTTCCAGTCAGGTGCTTTAAATATAAGGTCACTGAATAAAAAGGTCATGGAAGCATCTACCAATTTGCTGTGCCACGATGTTCTAAAAGAGCTGGCTAAGTAGTTCTGAAGGCCTTTCAATCCATGAAAATACCTCTAGCATGCTTTATTTGGAAAGTTTGCTGAGGCATAGATCAGTAACAAGAGGTATGAAATGTGAAGAGTTACTAATGTGGTAATTTTGTATGTGTTAATTTGTACACAGAAGACTAGATCTCTTGACCACATACTTCACATATTTAAGGTAAATAGTATGATAGTCCACTGTTAGGCTAACAGTGTGCACTACATCTCTGTTGGCCAATTTATGAAGAACGTAAGAATGTAGTTCTTCATTTCTTCATTCTTGAAGGGGAACAAATGCATGATTGATTTCACAGGCATGAAACATTCTTGATGTTATTGGTATCCATCTGCCTTATTTTGGTGGGTTTCTTTCAGTAAAGATGCTGTGCATAGGTGGGAGGAGAAGACTATTGCAACGAGTGGGGTTATCAAAATGTGGTAAAATGTCCTCATCAGCTTTCTGAAGCATTGTTTGAAGTCTTTTCCCCTACTGGTACGTACTTGTTAGCTAAAATGTGATTAGTAGCTAGAAGAAAGTTCTCAATTTTGTAAGTATCAATTCATTTCGTGAACTTTTGAATGGTGCTGAGCTATTAATACATCTCTAAGAAAGCATATTACAACTTCATGCCCAGAAAAAGCTCCCTAAGATAATGCCAGCATTCCAATGAGTAGTTAAATATCCTTTTGGATTTCGTGGTCTCTCAAGTCAGTGTTTCTTTACTTTTTAAAATGTATCAATTACCCATGACTGCCTTCACATCAGCTCAACTGGGCAGATGTCAGACGTCCATTTGAAAGTTCTGACCTGTTGCTTTTGAAATGTTCACGAGTCGAGATGTACCATGGAAATGATGGTAATCTCAAAAGGCAGTTAGACTGGGGGTATCTATATGTAGCCTGAAGCTGCAGGGAAGTGCTTGGACTAGTTTCTTCCTAAAGATTGTACCAACTAGCTATAGTCTGGCTATCCCTTTTTCGTCAATATTTTTGTCAGAATATAATTCAAATCACTCACTGTGACACTCAAATCACTCCATTGTGACAATAAGGCCTTTGCAGATTAAGGCAGTCATTTCAGTAAAGTTTTATTTGCTCTTAATTTCATACAAGGAAGAAGAAAGGAAGAAAGAGCAAGAAGAACAGAAGAGAAGGGAGAATGAGATGGTGTTTAGAGCTTGGTTACAGAAGAAGAAAGAACAAGTGCAAGAAGAAAAGCGAATTCGTCGTGCAAAGGAACTAGAAAACTTGAACACCAAAGTAAGGTCACCCTAATGTAGGACTGGGAGTCATACTGATCTGATTCCTTTTGTAAGCCTGGGTTCTTAGCTAAGTCTACGAAAATGGGCAGTGATGGGAATTTTTTTGTCATATTGCTTGCAGGGAGGAGCTAGATTGCCTTGCATGTTCTGGATGGTTCTGCCTAGCAAGTTGGATCTTGTCATACAGGCTCCGTTTGTGAACTTATTCACAATAAAATCACAGTGATGCCCTTTTTTAAATCAAGCAGATGACTTAATTGAGCTCAGCTGTGAGCAAGCCAGAAAACCCTTTAAGTTTATTCCTTACCATCAGAATTTGTTGGCAATCAGCTAATGCGTGTGGCCTGACTAGAGAATGATGATTCAGATGCTCTGAAGTTCTTCTATGTTGCAACAATGAGCTGAAAAAGTTAAATTCTGTATTTTTTATAACGTGCTGCTTTGAGTGCTTGCTCATGTATTTATTCCATGACATGTCAGCAAACATCAAATGCTACAAGTTTCTCTAATGTCAATGGGAGATGTCAGCAGAGCTCCAAAATTATAAGAGTACAGTTAGTATAAAGGCTGTTTAAAGATGACCCCTGTGCATATGTCTTATTTAAATAGGAGAGAAACAGGAATCCAGAAGAAGCGTTCAAGTTATGGGTTAAAAAAAAGCACCAAGAACACATGAAAGAAAAACAAATAGAAATTTTGAGACGGCAGGAAGAGGGAATTACATTTTTTCCAAGGACAGAGGAATGCAACAGAGCTTTTAAGGAGTGAGTAGAATCCTATGAAATCCATCTTGAAAATGACACCAGGAGTATTGGGATGAAGTAGTGCCTCTCATGCTTGTGGCAGATAGGCTTTTAGATTGGTGTGGCCGTAATACCTTTATCCTGGTGGCTTTATTTAAACGAGGCCAAGCCTACCTTGAAAGAATGAAATAAAATTTGCAGTTTTATCTGTGTTGTGTTTCTCTCTCTACAGATGGCTAAAAAGAAAGAGAGAAGAAAAGCGAGCTGAAGAACTGGCGGCTAAAGAGGCAGCAAGGCAGCTTCGATTAGAAGCTAGAAGAGCAAAACAGATGCAGAACATGCACAGCATTAGTTCGGAGCCTAGATCTTTTCGCTTCAGAGACAATTACAGTTGAAAATTTGGAGGTAACCACTGAGTTCTTGGGGACAGCCCTCTTAATTTTTATGGCTTGAGCTACTGCTGTTTACAGCTACTGACTTTGTGGTGTTTTTAAAGCTTTCTAGCAAATTCAACAGTCCCCTTCACCGACAATGGTTTTGCTACTTATTTATAATTAATTTTGTTGAAAAGCCTGCTTTTATGCACAACTCAGGGATCTTCTTGGTTTGACCAAATCAAAATGAGAGCAAGATCTGTTTGCGGGGGTGGCAAATACATTTCCTTTTAAAAGGCACTTTATATTGAACTCCACCATGAATTCCTGGATGCAGGCTATTATTATGTTGTGTTTTTTTTTTTTTTTTTTTTTTTTTTTTTTCTGGATTAATATTGGTATTTGCTGCTTGTGATGAGTGTACAACTTGTGGCGTTGAAAAATGCTTTCTGGAATCTTTGCCACTTTCTATTGGCTTGTGGAGCAGCTGTTCCAGCCCAACTATTCTAACTAGGGGAAGTGGTGACTAAAGGCTAACATGTATGTGAACTTGCAAGTTTCTGGAACTTCTTTTCTGTGAGTCAAACTGATGCATTCATATTTAGTAATTTGCTATTCCATGAAATGAAAGATAATTTACATTATGACCTTTGCCAATATCAAGGAAGCTGAATTCTTTGTGTACATTTCCATGTTTGCTACATTTATTGAAATATACCACCACCTTGATATTGGGAACTCGTGATAGAGAATATGCTGAAATGACTGATGAAATCAAAGTTATCTGTGGGGAACACAGGGTGTGAAATGAGCTGTATTAAATCCAAAATTGTAACTTGTAAGCAAAGAAAATTTATTATGTTCTTCATGCAAACCAAAGCATGCCCAAGAAAGCAAGAACTTGTAACTTGCTAATTCTGTTTGTAGTATGAGACTTAAAAGAAAAAAAAAAAAAGGGTGAAAGCAGCTATTGTAGAAACCCTTTTCCTAAGATAGACCCTACCTATGATAAATCTGGGAGTTAAATTAAAAATGCTTATTTGCATCCTCCTGATTTTCCTCTGCGTTTGCTCCTGTGTTTCTTCTATGTCCTGTCTTTGGATTTAGCAGATAAGCTGCAGGAATATTCATTTGAACTTGCTTCACAGTAACAAAATCATAAAGTAAAAAAATTTTTTTACTAATACTTGTGCAAAAGTAGTGCTTATCTTCAGCCTCCCCTAACACCCAGGAATACTGTGGGCAAGGAATGAACTCTAATGCTAGTTTAGCTTTCAACACTGTGTATTAAAGGAGGTTTCTGTTTCTTTTCTGAGGACTGACTACTTAACAGCATGACTGTAGAAGACAAAAGAGAGGGAAAAGCCGTTGTTTTACCTGCGTGAAAATACAAGAATATCACTCCACAGTTTTCAAGAATCCATTTAAAACCAGTTACTATTTATATGTTGTAGCTAGAGTTCGTTCAAGCTCTTTTCCTCTCCTCCACACTCTTTCAGAGCTTACAGCTATAAAGACTCATTGCTTACACTCCTTATGACTAAATTTAAAAGACTGAACATACACCTGAGGACAGTTCATTGCCTTGGATAACACTAAAGAACCATGGAGCTGACTATATCCTAATGACCTATGATTATTACTTATTAAAAATATAGCATTTCCTTTGCTTTGGTATAGTTTATGCTTTTACTTCCCTGTAAAGATGATGAATTCATTAAGATTTGCTAATAAGATTGTCAAACTTAAGTAGTCAGGGGGAATCTCTAGGCTCTACAAATTGGACCAGCATAAAGTCTTGGGTCTTGCCTTTGTAGAAGGAAGCTGTTTTTCACACTGAAAAGGAATAAAGCAGCCCACAGAATAAAGAAATCCTGGCAGTCCCTGGCTTCAAGAGGCAGAGAAGCAGAAAATACAGGATTTCCAATTTTAAACCCACTTATATAGAAAGAAACAGGAAAAAGGGAAGCCTGCTGAACACCAACTAGTGGAATTCTTCAGAAAGAGTGCATGTGCGGTCATAAACATCAGCCATGTTTTTAAAGGGCTATGAGCTCTCCTTGACAGTGGTCGCAACAATTGAAAGTTATGTCTTCGTATCTTGTATATGGGTGAAACCTTCCAATATTCTTCTTTGTAGAAAGGAAGGAAGAGGGAGAAGTCTGAGAAAAAGAAGCTTCTGTTGATGTTTCTGTACGTGCAGCTGGATCCAGTACACGTAGCACCTACGAGAAGAAAAGCTGAGAATGAAAATTTATCTGCTAAGCTTAATAGGATTTATCCTTCTGTAACAGCGTGGAAGGTTTTCTGCTCAAAAGCAGAGTTTTTCAACTTGATTTCAAACAATACATGTATTATTTATGTTGTGCTTATTCTTCCGTGTTTTTGATTTTTAAACACCAGACAGCTCTATCCAGCATGTTTCCCCTGCAAATCATTTTTAAATACAATATTAAGCAGTTGCCACAAAGCAAGGCTTTTCTTTCTGAAAACATGCCCCTCTGGTGTGTTGAAAGACTGAGTTGTATGGAAGGTTCTTACCCTTTCAGCCATTTTCTCAGCAGGGGTATTGCAAAATTCCACAGCTGCTGAAGTCTTTTTTGGACTGCTAGTTCCAACATTTCCAAGAAGATGTGAGCTTACAGCTTTGGCTAGTTTACAGTTCACAGCTGCTAGCTCTGTTGTAGTGTAAGGCTGGGCACTGGGATAGTATGTCTGTTGTCTCCCCCACTGAAGAGAAACCATCAGTTCCTCTAGAAGCCTGCGGAGAGAGAAAAACAATCTCGTGGTTTCATATTCCATGCTATCAGCACACATGCTTCAGTGCAATCTTCCCCAAATTTGCTGTACAAGTCAGATGTTAATTGAAAAAGGTTTCATTATTTAAAGCAAGGAGGCAAAGCAGGTTACTCTCACAGACAAGGCTTCACCAATGCAGAATTTTAACAGTGGAAAAAATTAAAAGACATTTGTCAGACTAAGCACTGAAAAGTCATCGCAGGTAAAAGAATCTGTTAGTTTTGGAAAGAGAAGATTCTTGAAATTAAGACAGTAAGTGATTAACTACATATAGTCTGCGGATATGAGAGATGTTAGTTCTACCTTCATACCTTGAAGCTATATGACCTTCAAGAACTCACACCTCTATGGAATACTGGGGAAAGAATTAGTGCTACTTTGGCTTTCAACACTGAGAATGAAAAGCAGCTATATAATCATCTGCATATCTGTTTTTTTCTTAAATGTAACACGAATAGGGGAAAGTTATTTCAATTCTTCTCCAGCCCAGAATAAACCAACAGAAATGAGAAGTCTGTAGAGAAGTAGTCTGGATTAGGAAAATCATACTTTTGTGTATGAATCATTTCTTGGCGGAACTGATCACGTTCATTCAACAGATCCTGAATTGCACTTTGTGCATCTCTGGTTTGACGCTGAAGAATTGCTCTGGTGTTGGTTAGCTCATCAGCCATAACCCTGCAAAAGACATTTCCAATTAGTAATTTAAGTGAGCAGCTTGAAAGTCACCTTCACTCTATTGCAGACAGTATTTAATCAGCTCAGTCTAAGGATTAAGCTGCCATTCCCCTTCCTTCCCCATGCAGAACTTGTCAACCTAATTACAAAGGACATGCATTAAGAGCAACTTCTATTCAACTACAAGCATTTAAGTGCAAAACTACATCTGAGTTTAAATAATCTTATGCCACTCTATACAGATGGGTAAGTGAGCACGGTGCACAAACATCCTGACAGACAAAGCTGAATACATTTTATTATGGACAGGTTTCTTGCAGGTACACTGTAATCACATCTTTTCACAGTCATTTCTAAAGATGACAGCTATGGCTGCAGACTGCATCCACTTCTCTGCTTCTCTCAGGGCACAATACCTAGATGTCAAATGCTCCAGATACAAGCATGTGAGAACTGCTTGTGATATTTTGCTATTCTATGCCAACAGACCCCTGGAGCTGGTACTTCAATGCCTCAGATACTGCAAACACCAAGAACAGAATGCATTTTAACAACTACCAGCAAGGAATCTGAGACTTGAATGAATGAGAGCCTTACAATAGAACAGATGTTACTTTGATCACATCTCCACACTGTCAAAAGTGTTACTGGAAGAGGCTCCCTTGCAGTGATCTTAGGATTCATATTAATGCTGAAGAATTGTTTCTTTTACTTGTGTAAAACTAGGATAGTAATGCTTGCCTGGATGGTACTATCACAACTGCTTATCATTCACTCAGTACATCAAAACTGCTGAATACCAGCAATTTAAATGGACTAGATCATACATTCTCATTTCCTTCAAGCAGTAAGTCATTTTCATAATATGCACTAAGCATCACTAGTTAAAATGCAGTGAGTTATAGATGAGTACAGTAGAAGATTAAAATCCTATCACTATTTGCAGATCTGATAGATCATCTACACTTGGCAAGTTAAAAGTCTAATCCCTTGTCAAATGAGACTGACACTTAGACCAGCTTAAGATTTGCTCTTAACTCTTACAATGTATTAGTTTATGAGCACAGAAGTTAACGTAGGGTTCCTTCTGTAAACAAACATTTAATGAAGAGGTCTCTCTATTCTTCCATTCTTAGTTGCTGGTTTTAATAGATCCCTGAAAAATTAATGAATTTTTTTTTTTTAAAAAAAACAAATTGGTGATTGCATCATACTTTCAGCTGTCATGGAAGACATTTTCAAACCCTAAACTGGACACAGTTACACAGTTGATTAGAAATAAGAACTTCTCTTATGTTAACAAGAACTGGAGTTAGCATTTTAGGAGTATTAGGACCCACTCTATTACTTCTGAAAGGCAGAACTACTGAGATTTACAAGCAGCTCAGTTTCTTTTTATCTCTTCTCTGATTGAAACTAAATGGTAAGTGTCTTACAATAGTAGCTGTGGTAGCCCTCTGCATATATATATATACACACATACACATTCCCAAGTGCTGCAGTGGGTGCATATAATAAAAGCCTACAGAAAAATGCTGCTTGAAGTGGGAATACCTGCTTGCTAGGAATTTGCTTCGCCACACATCACACTGTATAGACATGCGCTCCAGTTGTTCAGACAACTGAGACAGATTCCGGCCCAAGGCTTCATTTTCTAGGATAAGCTGATTTTTCTCACGAGCCATCCGCTCAAAGTGATACTGCAGATCATCTCCAACAGAAGCAACAAGGAGTTTCTTCAGCTCCCGATTCACCTAGAATTAGACCAAACTATCTGATCATTACCAATATGGATTGAAACACTTTCTACGTTTGTACGAACTGAGGCAACATATTTTTTAAAATGAGCAGTTTCTGTTTCCAGAATGGAATGCACCCAAAGGAGAGGATAATAAGCCTCACAATCCACTCCAGTGAGACAAAATTTTAAGAGTAACGCACATTTAACACTTCCTTGTTTAAATTTTAACAGCATTCAAGAAGGAAGAATAAAAACGTGGTACATGAAACAAAGAAAGTTTCAGTCCTATTCAAGTCCTGACTCAGTAAAATAGCAAAGGATTACATAAGCCATTTGTAAGTTATGTTACACCTCCTTCAATGGTGTAACATTTTTTTTTTAACTAAGCATTGGGTCACGAGAAAAGATCTTGCTCCTCAAAAGACATTTCCCTGCAGTCCTACAGTGCGTTTGTTTCTCCCAGATTCATGCTTTGATATTTTTATCTGCTGACAGAGAAGCACCAGAGTACTCTGATGCATTTCTACTCTCTATCTTGTAAGTTCAAAAAGAAAACAGTTTCAAAGCTTCAGTGTCGTAGCAGTTATCTTTGATTTTATTCACAAGCTAAATAAACCAAAGCAACTCAACTGTGAGGAAAAAAAAACCCTTCATTTCTTACCTCCGTCTGTATACGCAGCTGATTAGAGAGACCTTCTTTATCCTGTAACAACCGCTTTTCTGAATTCTTCAGCTTTTCGATTGCATTTTTGAGCTCAGTCTGTTCTTTCTTGGGATCTGCAGTTCCATCTGACTGATGGAAAGCATCTCCTTTGTGTCCCGCCGATTTAGCTACTTTAGCATTTTTAGTTGCAACTACATGGGTGATAGCTGCTTTGGGGACTAATATACGCACAGCTTCAACTTCTACTGATTTATCAGCATGTATCTGCCCTAGCTGGAGAACTCCAGGACTCAGCGATGAGACTGCTTTTTTTTGTGGGCTGTGGTGGATGTGATGGTTTGTAGCGCTGGCTCCAGTGCTTACTTCTACAGATTCACCCGTCTGCTCTGTTTCCATGCCATCTCCAGGTCCTCGGATGGGTGATGAGGCATAGTCAACTACAGTTCAGAAACAGCAGAGGTAGTTACCATCTTAATGTCATTGCAACTCTTCCCTTCATTTACGTACTTCAGAGGTGAAAGTTTTAATTTTACACTGCATGCAAAACAGTCCTTTGCAGCAGGAGCTATCAAACACAAATTAGAATCTAGAAAGCCTTTACTCAAGTATGCACTGCTAATTATGACACATTCATTGATAAATTTTACTAGTTTCCATCACATAATATTGGGTAGATGTGCAGATATGATCAAGAACCATTAAGGAGAAAAATTCCTGACAATGTTACCTATGGAGTGACAGCGAACTTCAGCTTCTGGGAGCTGACAAAAATCACAGCAGATCTATTTAAAAATCCAAAGCTGCTATTAAGCTATACAGCTACTAACACCATAAGAAATTTAAGAGGTTTTAAGTACTACAAGATGTTCTGAGTTAATGATTTAAAAAAGCCAACATATCAGTTGCATTTCATTTTTAATTAACTGCCCCCAGTACTCCTAGTAAGGCTACATTCTGCTCTAGATTCCCAAATATGCCTGAAATTCATTTTGCTGAAGCTCATTACGTTTTCGGCTGAGTTAAATGCTATCACAGTAAGGTTTCCCCACAGTGGACATGGCAGGAAAGCTTCTCAGAACACTGCTACACATACTGCCATTATTTCTCTTACTGCAGGGAGTAACGTGCCTGCATCCTCTGTCCTATTCCCCATGCTGGACTTCACAATAGAGTTGCCATTACAGTGCTCTACTTTCAGGATTCAGGCAGTGCCAGCAATTTCTAAAGGCCAGAGAGGGCTATCAGACAAAGGTGTAGACACGTAACCGCACGAATGACAAACCTGCTTTTCCAGGCAAAACCACGTTAGGAGATCTAGTTCAATTAACTGCTCATTTCATGCAGTTAAAGAAATAAGACCTTAGAATTCAGGTTAAAGACCTTTTAATCCAGTCAGCTCAGATACCGCACCAACCACCTACTTTTTTCTAGAGATGTCATTTTCTTGCTAGCAGTCAGCTCTTCTTAACTACGTAATCCTGAGGAGGAAAAGAGGGAAAGCATCTTCAGGAAGGGAAGTTAATCTTGGAAGTTAATCAGCCTGTTTTCGAATACAGCCTCTAAAATTCAGTTCAGTAGCACACTGATACACTGTTTACTGTGAACTACAAGCTCTAAAGGAGGTAAAAAGCCCACACCGAAACAAATGTAAAAGCAAACGCCCCCGAAACCCGAGAAAAGTCAAAAGAAGGATCCGAGCCGTCTGGCAGCTGCTGCTTCTCTCACCGAGGGCCGGGCTTCAACTTCCATCTCTTGCTCGTCCAGTTCTAGTTCCCATGCTTCAAATCCCTCCTTGCAGTCTCCCTCCTTTTCGCAGAGCCCTCACCCCACCCTCTGTGACTCCATCATACTCCTTCCCGCCCGGCGCCGCTCTCGAACCCCAACCCCAACCCAACAGCCGCCCGCCGCCCCCCACGCACAGCCCCCACACGTTACCAGCTCCACAGCCCGCACCCGTCACCTCCGCCAGCGCCGCTGCCCACCTTCCGCTTCCGTCCGGAACAGCCTCACGCCCAGCGCAGGGCGGGGCGTCCGTTGCCAGGGCCGCGGGAAGCGAGGCGGCCGCCGCCATGGTGAGCGCCGGGCCTGGGGTCGGTTGGGTGGGCTCTTCGCTCGGGGTTAAAGCAACGGGGCGCCGCCCCCCCACCCGCCTTTAGAGGCGCCCAGCGGCGGTCTCTTGATAGGTCCACGACTTAATGATGATTTGTATAAGTCGCTGTTGTGTTTGGTTTTTTTTTCCTTACCGCAGGTTACCGGTTCAGTGCTTGATGGATAGAAATCGAATCCATTTCTGTCGCTTACTCGCTAAAGAGCTTGAGGACGATCACTTCACAATCTTGTTTCTCCCTCTTATCGCAGACGCTCGTGCCCTGATATTTTCCCACTCACTGTTCGTGCACGCTCAGATCTAGTTTTTGCTGTGTGTAATTTTCTCTCAGTGCAGTGTCCTACCTGCATAACCTGTGCTAGCTGAGGTTTCGCTGCCACTAAACAGAGCAGAACTCTTGTTTCTTGTGTTCCAGTTACTCGTAGTGCCAAATGATCTCTCTTTTCTTCCGCTCCTGGCTGCATTCTCCAATCTAACTGTGATCCACTGTAACCTTCAGGGATTTTTCCCTGTGTTCTTGCTGTTAGTTTTTCCCCAGATATTTGAATTTATTTTCTTGGTTGTCACTGTAATAATTTGCAGCCATCTCTATGGGATTACAGAATTTCAGACCATTTCTCAGATAGTCAAAATCGCACTGAGCTCTGTTTACCAGACTGGAATCTCTCCCAGCTTAGTGTGAGCCTGGATTCTGAAAGTGCACTTCTCTGTTTCATTGCCAGCATGGCAATGAAATAAAACATGACATAAAACCAGGTGGGTGACAGAACATTTTGGAACCTCACTTGAAATTGACTTACAGCTTGCAAGAGAATTATTCCTAGTTACTTCTGCATGTGGCGATTGTAACTGTGCTTTAATGTAGGTCGCAGTTCCCTACTTCACTTGCCAGAACGTGGGGTGTCTTAGATTGGAGGTCCTATCAAAGCCAAGCGTGTCACATCAGTGGCTTCTCCCTTACTTACGTAGCCCACTTACCATATCTGAAAGGGAAAACGGTCACGACAGGATTTTTTTCTTGTCACACTAACGTTATCAGCTTTGTATAACGTTTTGTCTTCAGAGATGCTTACTGATTTTCTAATAACTCATTGTGTTATCTTCCAAAGTCTGCAGTTGAGTGAGCTGTCCCAGCCTTGATCTCCTCCAGTCCCTGAGGCCATTCTCTACAGCTGCTCAACAGTACGAGTGGGTTGAGGTTTCTGTGGCTGCTGTCCTTAGTGCATCAGAGACCATTTCATGTGCTGATGCGAGTATGTCTAACTTCTTTAAACTCTTCTTTCTTGTTTTGTAGTTCTGTGCTCTGGCTTAAACCAGCTAAATTACCTCTCCAGTTGTAACCCGCTTATTTGCTTCTGTGAGTGCTGCAGTAAGAAGAAACTCTGTATTTCAGTTTCCTTCTTCGCTTTCATCCTAGAAGCGGGATACTGTAGTGAAAATGCTAAGTCACAGCTTGAAATAGTGATTGAACACCTGGTAGGAAGGCAGGGCCAACTCAGGGGAGCTCAGGTGCAAGCAATGCTCCTGATTGACCAGAGGGGGTGGAGCAGTATCCGCTCTTTCCCAGACCTCATATAAGGGTTGGCAGTGGAGGTAAGGATATCTTTCTGGAGGTCCCTGTATTTGTGAGGCCTTATAAAGGTAAGTATCTTCTTTCTTTTGTTTCTGTGTCTACAGCAGTTGTGTTTGGGCTGATCCTTGCTTGTTGTAGCTTAGGATGTTGCTATTCTGTTGTCATTGCTGTGCTTTCCATTTTGCTATGGATGTGTTTTTTTTTTTTCTAGGGGTTTGATCCTGTGACTTAAAGCATTTGATCCAACTCATGTGTTTTTTTAAAACATCTTTTTCTCAGAAAGATGGAGTTAAAAAATAAATGACTCCTTTCCTACGTATTCAATTTCTTCCTATAAGTCAGATTAAACATCAGGAACCTAATAACATTCTGTAAGTAATGAATTTTCTGGTAGGACGTTTAGCATGCTTATAGCACTGTGTTGTTTATAGTCAGTGTAAATTGTGACTGTGTTAGTTATAGTGTATGTATCTACTCAAGGGGAAAAAAAAATCAAAAAACAAAACAAAAACCAACAATAATCCAGTTACAAGTCATGCTATGGCCATAGAAATAAAAATGTAGTAATGTATTAGAGCATCATCTTGAAAACATTAGTTATTTATTCATGAGTTTGTTGTACTGTGTCACTTAAAAGCATTCCAGATGTGGAAATCCACCATTTACCTGGGAAAAATAGCTTTTGTGTGCAAGCAGCTTGCCAGACAGGTACAGAGTCTTATTGCACTCAGGCTGTCTATAGGTGTAGTTCCATGTTTCTCTTCCTCTGTTCTTTAATGCAAACATTCTTGTCACCACAGCTCCAATAACTGCAGAGAACATTAAAAAGCATCTTTTTCCGTCTTGCACATAAAGAACAGGTGGCTTAGTCAATAGGATGTCATCTGGGTTTGATTTTATGGGTGTGGAAGCAGCAGTGGAATTTGAGCTTTCAGCTTCCTTAGTTCTTTCTACAAAATCAGAAAAAACATCTATGTAGTAGACTTTCCTGGGCTAGGTTGCCCGAGCTTGCAATCATGCCATGTTGACCAGGATCTTGAGTATAACTGGAGATGAGCAGTTCAGCACACTCCAACAAAGATTTTTCTAACAACTGTTATATGTTTGTTATCTTCAGTTCATTAGTAAATCCCCAAAGCCCGGCTCAGTGAATACTAATACAGAAGTGCTTAGTTAAGGCAGGGAAGAAAAATAAGTAATTTTCTTGTAAAATGAGTAATTATTTAAAATCAGTACTTTTTGAAAAACAGCTTTGATTCATCAGTGGAAGAGATTTACTTTGTGATTTGGGAATGGATGTTAGAAAGTAAGTAGTACATCAGCCATTCCTACAGCACAGCTGCAGAATGCTGGGTTGCTCATGGCCAGGGTATCTTGTTGTGATCAGATTTTCAGCTGCAGGCATTATAGAGGCAGTACAGCTCACAGGCAGCTGCAGACTGCAGTTTCATTTGGGAACCAGTAATTTCAGCCATAGTGGATTAGCTGGCAAAATGGGATGTTTTGTGTGAAGAAAACTCTCATTCAGGTATGATCATATAGAGAGGCAAAACTTTCCCATTTCATAGAGCTGAACAAGTGCACATTTGCAAATGACTAGAAGTTATTTCATAAATTCTGTATCTTTTGTTGCAAAACTCTTGTACTTAAAAAAAAGTTATTTTTTTTTAAACTCTTCCTGAAAAAGATGCAAAACCTTCCCTTGAGAACAGCTTTCTTAATAGTTGTGAAGACTTGCTTTTGTGGCCCAGAAACCAAGGCTGAATTTCACTGCAGATGACCACCCTGATTTTTTTCCTCTGTGGAGTAAGTGGCCCAAGCCTTTCCAATATAAGCTGGCATGGCACAAACATGTTGTGTTTGTGTTGCATATTGAATCTTATAAGCATCAGAATTATGATATGGTTTCTTCTTGAACTAATGTTTCCTAGTAATGCTAGTTTTCTCTTGGGCAGGTGGGCTGTGAATGCAGCAGAAGGTATATCTGATAAAATAACAGAATCTTTGGCCCTGTATGAGCCGAATGAAAACTGCTAAAAGAATATAACTCTCCTGTGAGATGTATCTGATTCAGCAGTGGAAAACTGTGTTCCAGGAACTCATTTTGGGTTTGATACTGCCATCTTTATGATATGACTCGCTATATAAAATACCACTCTACATATATATAAAGCTGACAGATTCAAAATCCATGGGATAAATTGCCTCCTACTCTAGCCAACTCTGAGCTGTGGCTTGCAGGAGCTGCCATCCCTAAAAGCAATTTTAGATGCAATGATAGCTCCTCTGACTGATGTGTCTGAAGTAGCTGATGGTATGAAAGGCAAAGTTATCTAGAATTACATAATGATAAATTCCATTTTAATCTCCCTTTATTACCCAGAATTGTCACTCAGGATTCTTCAGATTATAACTGCAGTTTTTAATAACTTGGCATATCTATTCTAATGGTATGGATTTGACTTTTTTCTTCTTTCAATATTGTTAGAAAGTGAAGAAATTCGGGAATTATTCAGTGAAGCATTGCCAGGAGCATAAGGAGAAGTTGCCAATTGAAAGTTTATGATTAAAAAAAGAGATTTATTGACAGAGTCAGTGGTTATTTAAAGCGTTTTTCCAAGCAGATTTCATATGGATAAAATTGATACTTAAGAATGTTGTATTTGAGCTCTGAATTATTTTTCAGAGCACCTCAGGTTACCATAAGAAGTCCACACATCTGTGTAGGATCTGGAGAAACTGAGAAGTTCTGATGGATGTGACCCTTAGGCAAGAAGCAGCCAAACTGACAATGAAAACATTGTTTAGGCTGGGAGGGACTTGCTGGGGTAACCCAGTCTGACCCACCTTTCAAAAATGGTTCTAATCAGCTCAGGTTGCTTTAGGACACCTGGGTGCATCCTGAACATATCAAAAGATGGAGATTCTGCTCCCCTGGGCAACCTGTCCTGGTGTTCCCACCCTTTTGGTTAAAGAAAGGAATAATCAGATAAATCCTTACTGGAAATCCTGTGTTTCAGCTTGTGTCCTTTTTTGCTTTCACACTGAAAAGGCTGGCCCCATCTTGCAGTCAGGGAGCTGAGGGCTGCGGTCTCTCCCACTTTTCTTCCTCCCTGGCTGAGCAGGTCCTGCTCTCTCAGCTCCATCTTGTATGTCTTGTTCTACAGTCTGTAGTGGTTTTGCTGGCCAGTGGCAAAATTCTGAGAAGCACAAGGTTTTGCCTTTTTCTATGCATTTAATCTGTGAGAATAGTGAATCTTTGAAAAGGACTTTTGGCTGCTTGGTTAAATGTTTTAACTAAGTTCCTAAAAATAAATAAAAATTGCAGGGATCTATTGCATCCCGGTGGGATACTCCGTTAATGATTAGCTGACTGCTGAAAAATGGAGGTT